GAATAATTCAATTGCTTCTAAATTCACTAAAATCTTTATGTGTGTTGATTCAAGTAAAATTATCATAATTCTGAGATGACAGATTTGTCTGTTGATGGCTAACAGTTTTGCTTGTTTTCTTACACTATTTAGAAACTCTCATTTGTGGCAGCCTACTCATTTTTCAATTTAATGAGAATTGTCTTGAGTATCTGTTTGTGTATCTTGCAATTCTTTAAGTTAATACATCATATCTCATATATTCTTTTTAAACTTTTGATATCTCTGCATCCTGCACATTCTTCACATTCTTATAGTTCATGTAATGATTTTGTTGCCTTCCACTGTTCTTTATCATGATGATAATCACATTGACATTCATATTTCAATTTATTGTGACATGAATGGTATGAATTATTCACTTCTTTTTATTTCTCATTCCAATGTCTTTCACATGTTCATATTAATAATGTCCTATTTCTTTGCAAATTATTCAGTATAGTTGTTCTTCTCAAATCTGTAATATTCTCACAGTTTAATATTTCTCTTCTTCAAGTGTCACACTTTCTGTAAGATCTAATTACTTCATGATATTCTTTTTGTGTTCTTCAAATCTCAGTATTTCTCAACTAGATTCTTCTTCTTTCTGAGTTGCTCTTAATTTCTTCAGTGATCTCAGATAGTATTTTTTATCTTTTTTATTCTTGTAAATTAGACATTTGTCTTTATAGCACAAGCTTTAGTGAGTTCTAACATGTTCTGAATGCTTTGTATTTGACATATTCTGAAAGTCTGACATTTCTTCTTCACTTTCTATAGTATTGCATCTGCAACACTAACAGTTTTCAATATTACATCTGTAATTTCTGTGATACATGAAATTTTCTGTAATCTGTATTCATTGCATGAACTCTTCTTGCTGTTTTTGATGAAGTTGACATGAACAATTGTAGATTGAATAGTTCACAGGTCCCTTGTGAATTGGAGTCTTGAATCCTCTTTCTCATTTAAAATTGGAATAAAAGTTGCGTTATGAAAATTGAAATTCTCCCAA